CTGAACATTCAAAAAGACTTCACTGTTTATGTTCAGAGGTTTGTGTAAACTGGTGTCTGTACATTAAATATGACTTTACTGTTTAGTGTTATGAGGTTTGTGTATACTGGTGTCTGTACATTAAATATGACTTCACTGTTTAGTGTTCAGAAGTTTGTGTACACTGGTGTGTCTGTTCATTAAATATGACTTCACTGTTTAGTGTTCAGAGGTTTGTGTACACTGGTGTCTGTACATTAAATATGACTTCACTATTTTGTGTTGAGAGGTTTGACAGTTCAAAAGTGTAGATATCTATGATACTTAGCTAAATGATGTAGAATTTTCAGACTGAAGTTTTGACCAAATAATTTGGAAGTTCTATTACACACAGTTGTTGTCAAATGTTTGAAAAATAAATGGGTAAGACTTGTTAATGTAAAGTTGAAACTTTGGCAGACAAATTATGTCTATTACATTGATGTATTTTGTCTGAAGAACATTTATAAAGCATCTATCTTGATTCGTGTGATGTTATCGTTTTCAGTCTACTATAAGCACGAACTGTATATAGATGTGTTTGTTATACTACTGCAAATTTTAACCAATTCTTCTGTGTATCCACTATAACTGTGTTGTTTGTTTGTATAGAGCAGATGAGGTGAAAGAGCACCCCTTCTTTCAAGGGACTGACTGGCAATTAGTTTATCTCCAAAAGTACCCCCCTCCACTCATCCCACCAAGGGGGGAAGTAAATGCTGCTGATGCTTTTGATATTGGTTCATTTGATGAAGAAGACACGAAAGGCATTAAAGTATGGTTTCTGTCTCTCTAGTTTTACTTAATCCCCAGTAATTAAATATTGTGGTCTCTGTCTCTCTGGTTTTACTTAATCCCCAGTATTTAAATATTGTGGTCTCTGTCTCTCTAGTTTTACTTAATTCCCAGTATTTAAATATTGTGGTTTCTGTCTCTCTAGTTTTACTTAATTCCCAGTATTTAAATATTGTGGTCTCTGTCTCTCTAGTTTTACTTAATCCCCAGTATTTAAATATTGTGGTCTCTGTCTCTCTATTTTAACTTAATCCCCAGTATTTAAATATTGTGGTCTCTGTCTCTCTAGTTTGACTTAATCCCCAGTATTTAAATATTGTGAACTTTTTTTGATTTTTCAAATCTCTTATTTTGTTTTACTTAAAAACACACATAAAATACAGTTGTAATTGATACAAGTTATATAAAAACACAGGTTTATTGTCATTTCAGTATAATATTACACTAATTCTTATTCAACACCAAAACAATTAAATTATAAAATTTAGAGAGCATAATATCTAACTTGTATGATATAAAATATGATCTTAAATTTTTAGATTTATTTTTCACTAGTAAATAAGATTTTATTGACAGACACGATATTTTCTGTACATCGTGTCATTCTTCCAGTAAAAGAAGAGATCAGTTTGTAATCAATACACATTATTCCACTCTCTCAGCTTACTGAGGCAGATCAGGAGCTCTACAAAAACTTTCCTGTTGTGATTTCTGATAGATGGCAACAAGAAATATCTGAGACGATCTTTGAAACTGTCAATCAGGAGACGGATAAAGCAGAACAAAAGAAACGAGCTAAGATGAAGATGAAGTTTGAAGATGAAAAAGGTATCTGTGAAATACTTGTTTGCTTTTAATATGTTCAGCTTAAGTTTATTTAAAGCGAAATCTTATTTTACTTGTAAATTGTAAACGCTATGTAAAAAGTTAGAAAGTAAATTTCTGGTTTTGTTTACAGAAAAAAAACAAATTTTTTGACATGGAAAGACTAGGCTTTAAGTTCACAAACTTAACAACTTTTGACTATTTTTTTAAAAAAAAGATGATCTTTATTGCTGATCTGTTGTTGTTGTTTTTTGTTAATGAAAAATGATTTAGAACAATAAAATATACGGCTTGCAACACCATAGATGTATGTGGAAGTTTATAGAAGCTAGAGAATGTTTTTTGGAATATAAAGATAATTATGAAATATTTTTACATGTAAACAACAAACAATCACATAAGTTTTGTCAAAGGTGGTGCTTTTCTCTTAATAACCAGCTGCCACTTCATATATTTTAGTGGTATAATTTATTATCAGAATGTTATATAAGGGATGATACTGTATCACAAACTTAACCCTGTGTCTTGTACACTTAAGATTTTTTTTAAAAAGAGATAATTAGCATCTCTATTTTAAAAGTCTTGAAGAGATCATGTCAAACTATTGTTAAACTAAGTATTACTAGGTTTCTCTTAATAATAATCAGTCTGTAATAAAATGGATCTTTTCTCACCACAGAATCGGACTGTATTATTCATGGTTATATTAAAAAGCTTGGTGGCCCTTTTGCTTCCGCGTGGCAGACCCGATACGGTAAACTGTACCCTAATCGATTGGAGCTTCACACAGAGTCGGGAAGTGCTAAGCCAGAGGTAGAAGTTGTTTAAATACTTACTTTTTAGCATACATTTAAGGTTTGACTTCAGTATATATTTTAAAGATTTAACAAGAAAGTGATGCCTTACTGATAATTGAGAGTAAGTATCATTTATATTCAGTTAAGAAGAGAACTAGAATAAATTTAAAAAATTTATTTTCAAATTCCAATATGTAAACGGTGTTCCAAAATCAATTAATTGTAACTTTTTAGTTAATCTTCATGGACCAAATAGATGAAGTCTGTTCAGAGTATGTACAAGTAAAAGGAGAACAGTGCGTTGTCTTGAAGATGAAAGTCGAGAGAGAGCGTGATGCCAAGGTAGTACTTACTAACTCGGTAAGTCTCTGAAAATCATTTTTCTTTCATTATGGAAGGGGGAAGACAAAATGGGCAGTAGGTACAGTTTTTGTATGCAACTGAGTTTCGGGTGATCCTGTAATAGAAACTATGTAAGAAATACAGATATTAGTTCTTACAGAAGTTTACCAAACTTATAAACATCTTTATTTTATTAAAAAATTAATTCTGTTGTACAGAATATGGAAGAAAAATCCATTAGTTGCTTTGTGCTAATCTAGAATCTTCCTGTTTTCAGTGGCTTTTCATTCAGGTCACCTGAAGATCCAGCTAGCATGATGTTAATAGGTTCCGTTTAGTAGTTAGGTCCATTAATTAAATTTCTGGCTACGATGTATATATTCTTCTAATTCTTTCCATTTAATTTTTGAAATCTAGAAAAATGGCTAATCAGACTTTTAAGTCTGTCTCATCATGCAGTTGATTAATATCCAGCTGTTTGTTTTCAAATGGGTTTCATTTGTTATGCTTAAACAGTAAAATTGTGATGGTATTTCATAATTATCATTTTACAAACAAGTCTTGTATGTGTGTGTGTGTTTTTAGAGTAAAGCCACAATGGACTATCTGCTTTGACCGCCGTGGAGAATTTTACCCCAGATTGTAAGTCCATAGACTCGCCGCTTTCCCACTGGGGAACCAAACAAGTCTTATTGCCCTTATTTAAAATGAGATTACTTTTTTTATGTCCTTTAAGGAACAAAGATGTTTCCTGTTACCAAAAAAGATTGTTGTTTTTTTTATACTTACCTACCAATAATCTTAATACTACTTGTAACCAATCAACATTCAGGCACATTTATAAAGTCTCTAAGAAGGTTTTATTCTAAATATAATTTATTTATAACCATAATTAGATACAGATATATGGTTACCAACAGCTTTTAGAATGTTTGGTACAAAATAATGTATGGAAGAACATTAAAAATTACATAAAATGGTATCCAAGATGTAATTAGACACTGTTGCCTCAGATCATTATTACAGAAGTCACATATACATTGTTGATATTCTTGATCTGTCCTGTTGTTAAGTTTGATTGTACTTTTCTGTACCTAAAGGATGAGATAGGGCTGAAGGAGTGGCTTATTGCTCTAAAGTCCACTCACAGGAGTTCTCTGGAACTGCTTGGGAGCATGGCTAAAAAAGCAGGGAAAATTTACGGTACTGATACCAACAATAAGAATAATATTGTTACTAGAAATACCAGTGAAAATTGACAGGAAAATCAGGTAAGAAATGTGAAAGCTGTTTCTAAAATGGAATTCTAAATCTTGAGAAGAAAGAAACTTGAGTTTTCAAAAATCAAAACTGTTTAAAATATGAGTTACTTAATGTTGACTGATTATAATGATTTATCTTTTGCTGTGAAAACAAATTGAATGATGTTACACAACTCGTGACCCTGACAACTACAGGGTGGCCCAAGAAGAGGTACCTAACTGATTTTGTTTATGGGAAAAATATAATACACTAACGATGCAAACTTACATCACTGAAATAGAACACTTGGCTTGTAACAATGTCAGTTGGAACACTTGACTAGTAATTGTCAGTAAGAACACTTGACTTGTAACAATGTCAGTTGGAACACTTGACTTGCAACAGTGTCAGTTAGAACAGTATATTATATTGTAACAGTGTCAGTTAGAACACTTGACTTGTAACAGTGTCAGTTAGAACAGTATATTATATTGTAACAGTGTCAGTTAGAACAGTATATTATATTGTAACAGTGTCAGTTAGAACAGTATATTATATTGTAACAGTGTCAGTTAGAACACTTGACTTGTAACAGTGTCAGTTAGAACACTTGACTTGTAACAGTGTCAGTTAGAA